GTGGATGAACGGCCAGAAATTGAGTGCAGTGAACTTGTTGTAGTGCTTGTTCCCTTTGAAGAAATCCAATAAATTTCCAAATGGTTGGATGGTAACTGCCAACATTTTACTGAATACTTCTGTGCCAAATTTTTCTGCTTCACGTAAACATGACCTTCGAAAACCACATTCTTTTTTCCTTTATTCGATTTTACAAATTCCATCATGGGTTACAAGACTTCTGAGATACTAGACTCATTGGCAGTATGCATCCAACAAGGTCCCTTTTGATGATGAGTGAGGGACTGTATTCTTCAAGAGATTTTTGTCTGAGGGGTTACTGTCCACGGGAGTTTTTTGTCCGTAGGGTTAGTGTCCTAGAGCCGTTTTCCTCACTACCTACGGACTTTCAGTTCGCTTGAGTGAGTTCAGAAATCACTTACACGTAGTTCCAACAAGAATTTTATTGTACGAACAGTATCGGTGTGTGTACTTGAAAGATCAAAGAATCTTTACCGAATGCCGTTTTTCTTTGTCTACGTGGGCAGTAGTAAGAGGTCAGTTTGGACTTGCCAGGGTTCGAATGCTGAAAATGTTTTGGTGCAACGAGCCGTGCAACGGGTAGCAAGGTGTCGACGTTCGAACAACAGAAACGACATGTTGGCCATACCTGAATGGTCCAGATTTATGGCCATGTTGTCTGATACGAGTGCCTCTTAGAGATGCAGTTAGATTGAACAACCTGGTAGCTCACTATCCGTGTCGTAACGACTGAAAGTGGTAAACTCTGTTAAAGCCGTCACTGTATCGATTGGCACCGCACGTTCGTTTAAACTTTACACCGCTATCTTTAATTTGCTTGTGTTTGATGAGATTATCACCTAAACGGAAGTTCTGGAAAGCGGAGAGTCTCTGGTTTATGCTGTTCACAATTGTTCAACACTAGTTATGTTAACGGTTACTGCGTTGTAGGAGCTAGTATTTTTCTGAAGGCATATCTGCCTCTGCGTTGTTCTTCAATTTTGCGTGTTGGCGTCGTGCATCTTCAGAGCATATTGCGACAGTCTTCTGGTATAGAGGACCCCTGATACAGATTAACCGGGAACCGTCGGACTGAAAACCGAGAAGTTTCCGATTCAAGTCCCTGTCAGGTGACTTGCCTTGTTCCTTTTGTGATTGATAAATGAATACCATTCTGTGGAAATGAAGCAGGACACAACACTATGTTTGTCACAGCCGCTGTCGACAATTTTAATTTATTTAAAACAATGCATTTATGGCTAATGGCATGGAGATGGAGATCAGCGCCTCACCATTAACTTGATGAATAAAATAGCGTCAGAAATGGCCCCATCATGAACTTGTAAGAATTTTGACATTCTCATGGTTGCAAACGTCTTTTTTCTTTCTGTTTTACAGATAGCATGCTAGGAAGAAGACCGAAGCACTTCGTGTTAGTTTAATATTTTATGGTTCAATACTCTCTAAGTAGCGAACTTTTCTATGCGACTACTTGCGTCCGTTTTTGATTATTTTCCAACCGATTTCTAATAATACCAACGTAAAAATTGTTTATTTTAGAGCCGCTTGCCAGTCGAACTACAAGGCGATGACTGAAGTTGGCAGTGTCGCTAACGCATATGACAGTGATCCGGAAGATGGCGGCATCAAACTAATGAACGGTTGCGGAAAGTACTACGCATTGCTGGAAGACACAGCGGTTTTCTCGTGCGGCTGCGTCGAGT